CATTGATATCATTCATGTAAATTGACATTTTTGCTATCATTCTTTATCTTTTCTTCCATTTTAGATTGTTTCATTTGTCAATTTTACTCTGTCACACTTTATCATTAACTATCAATGCATTATCGTTTATTTGAATGCAAAATAAAATTTAAAAAAAAAAAAAAAGAAAACAAATTTATTTAAAATGTAATATCAATAGTAACTGCAAAAAAAAAAGAAAAAAAACGAAAATATGCCTAATTATTTTTAATTTTTGATTAAATAATTCATTAATTGAAAAACAAAATTCTAATTATTTCTTTTCTTTTTTCTTCAAATAAAGCAAAAGTAATTTAAAAAATATGCATTTTATATTAATAATTAATATGCATGAAAATGGTTGAAATTTTTAGTTTGTTAAAATTGAAATTTGGGAAAAAAAGAAAAAAACAAACATAATTGACGTGAAAATGAATGCCTTCTAAAGTAAAAAGTTCACTTTTTTTTTTTCTTGCATAAATTTTCATTTATTTAAAGATTTTTTTCTTTTTCAAATCAAATATCTTTTATAATATAATTCATAAAATTGTTAATTTATGTGAAATTATTTCAAAAAACTTGTTAATGCTTTTTTTTTTTTTTTTGTTTGGATCAATTATCCCATTTTTTCGATGTTTCATTATGATTTGGCCAATTTGATATTTTTAGAACGACATTTACCTTACAGTCAATCTTATCTATATTATTTTAATTTCTATTCTTTTTTTCCTTTTTTTTTTTACTTTTTCAATAATTCTTTGTGTTGGTTATGCTTGAGATAATTCATAATTGAAATTTCATTTATTTAAATATTTTGAATTCATTAATTGTTTCTTTTTGAATTGCTGCAATCATTCCTAATCTGAATTATTGCAGACGATTCTATTAATCAAGTCAAAAGATAAATTATTTTTTTCTATTGTAAAGATTTGAATATATTATTTTATCTTCAAATCAATAAATGTTTTTTTTTTTCATTCATATTATTCAAAAAAAAAGAATTAAATTTGTGATTAATTAAAATAAATTTTAATATTAATTTATAATTTTTCATTGCATCATTTATTTATTTATTTATTTTTTTTGCGTTAAGTACTTTTTGATATTTTTTTAAACGACTGCAATTTTTGCTAATTTTTTTTATATTTAAACATATAATAATGATTAATTTAATAATAAAAGAAAAAAGAAACTACAATCATTTTAATGTTCAAAATTTATTGGCAATCTGTAAAGTTAACATTAATAATAGTAATAATTATTATTACGTAAGCATCATTTTATCATAATCATTATTATTATTATGATCATCATCATTATACTAAAAAATTTGTGATAATGAAGCAAATAAAATATTTTTTGATTTTCATATATATGAATTTGTTATAATTCTTTATTGTGTTGTTTTGTTTTTCTTGTTAGAATCAATCTAATAATTTAAAAGTTTTATGCATAATATTTTTTATCTTCTATGGATTTAAAAATAAATAAATAAATATTGTAGAAATGTTTCACTTGCGCACTTTAAAGAAAAAAAAAGCGGAAACAATACTGTAAAGTGCGTCGAGAGCACTTTGTAAAATCAGAATTGTCAATAATTTAAGCCTTTTCCAATTCATTTAACATTTGTAAATTTTAAAATTTAATTTAGAGAAAGTAATGCATTAAAATATTTTGCACTTTACTTAATACTTTTGCTCATGCGTAGGAATGTTGAATTTTTTTGCAATATGATGTTGCATTCTTCTAAAAATGAAATAAATGTTCAAATAATTTGTTTGCCAAATATAAAATTTAAAATTTATTTTATTATACTTTTAACTAATTTTAGCACTAATGAAACATTCAAAAGTTACAGATTATTATTTTTGAAAATTATATAATTATATTCAATTTTTCATATATATGTATATTTCACCTTGATGAATAGCTTTAGTGTTTTATTTTTGACTTTGTTTTTGTTTTTCATTTTTCTTTGCAATTTTCTCCTTTCCAAAATAAATGAAATATGGCATTCGTTGTTTATTTTTTTTTTCATTTATTTTTTTTTTGTTTTTATAAAATGAATTAAAGAAGCATTCGATGCACCGAATTTGCTATTTATAATGTACAACAAAAAGATATAATATATGTTTTATTTAGTTCTAACTTGTATTTTATTTCCAATGTATAATTCTCCTTGATGAATATTTTTTCCATGAATATTTTCTTTCTGACTTTTTTATTATCGGTTTTATTTACCTTTTGAAATTTTCTTGTTTTCAAAATAAACATCAAATTTATTTAAACTGATGAATTGACCTTCAATAATTTGTGTATTTCGCTTTTTGTTTGCTTTTTGAATGAAAAATTTTTTTCTTTTTGAAAATAAACAAAATGTAATTTTATTGTTTTGTTTTAATTTGTAAAATCAGCTGGAAAAAATTTTGTGGAATATATCAAAAAAATATGATTTTCAAATTGATTACATTATCATACAGTAGTTTGTTTCTCTTTTGTTTTTTTGCTTTTCTTTATAAACTTGTTCAATTGCTGATTTTTGTGGAATTCATTTTCAAATTAAAGAAAAAAAAAAGCGGAAACAGTTAGAAGTGATTTATCAAAATTATCAAAGAGAAAAAATTTTCTCTTTGAATAATATAGTAATGATAAAGTTCATCATCATATTCAATTCCATAAAAAAAAAGAAAGCCATTAAATAAAGTATAACAAAATAATCATTAAATCATTAAATCAAAAATAAAAAATAAAATTTTCTTCAGCGTTTTCTCTTTTTTTTTCTTATCCATTAATTATTTTTCTAATTTTTTTTTCTTTTTTAATTTAGAACACATTTATATTATTACACTGAAATAGATACTCTATGAAGGAGAAATTGTGTAATAGTTCGAGAATACAAAAATTATAGCGAGCAAAATATTTGGAAGTAAAAGTCTGTTTTTTCACTTTTTCTTTTTTCCTCTTTTTTGTTTAAACATTTTCCTTTTCGTTTTCTTAATTACAAAATAAAATTTAAAATATCATTATGATTGTCAGTATCATTTTCATCAAACGATTTATCTTTTGTTTTTTGTTTTTGTTTTTTATCTTTTTCATTTAATGAAAAATTTAAATAGATAAAAAGTAGAGAAAAGATAACAGTAAGTAAGAATTATTGAAATAAGAGGAAATTAAGTAAAAATTATTGAAATGGGAGAAAATATGAAGATAAATAATAATAGTAATGATAGTTTAGTAATTTATTATTATTATTATTATTAGTAGTAGTAATAGAAGGAAGAGGAGGAGGAACAGGAAAAGGAAGATGAAGCTATAACGAAAAAGCTAGTATACAAAAAAATTAAGTGTTATCTTCGTTTTTTTTTTTTTTTTTTTTTTTAATTTTTGCGTCATAAACAGTTAGAAAGATTGAACCTGTTAGAAAAATTAACGAAGCACTGAAAAATAAGAAAGAAGAAGAAGATGATGATAAAAAGAGAAGAGAAGGATGTTTGATAAATCTAGTGTTACCAATTTCTACTGGCGCATATGTACTCCCTCCCACATTCCGCCCTTCTTGCTCTTCTTCTTCTTCTTCTTCTTCGTCTTCATCTTTAATACGGCCGTAACGTTAATATACATATAAAAGGTTGGACGAAAATGAGAAAAATGATATGAGATGATGCGAATTCTCTTTCTGCTTACTGTTTTAATACATTTCAACAATAATGCTAGATTTTTTTTTTTTTTGCTCTAAATAATTTAATAGTTTGAATTTTGTTTTAATTTTAAGAAATTTTTTTCAAAAGATTATAATTATTTAAAAATTGTTGAGAAAAAAAAAAAAAAGAAAATGCATAAAGTAATTTATTTAACTGATTTACATTTCAGCTAAACTTAATCTTTTTCTATTTTTTTTCAGATAATTTGAATGATATGAACAAAATTATTACATTTTTCTTTTTTATCCTTTTTTTGTTTTTATTTTGATTGATGATTATTTCACATTTTAGTAGAAAATGAAAATGATGATTTATTTAGCTTACATTTAATAGTAGTTTTTATCTTTTTCGTTTTCAGTTTGCTCAAGAAAATGAAAAAGAAAAATTTGAAGATAAATTCTCAATTTTTTTTTACTATATTTTTATTTGTAAATTTTTATGATTATTAAATTAATTAAGAATATATTTTTCAAATCCAAATTAAAATTTAAACAGTTAACTTGATTTTAATTTTCTTTGCAATTCCATATAAACTATGTGGAGTAGTTACTTTAAACCATTCTATTGTGAAAAATCCGTATTCACTGACATATTAATACTTGAATACTTACTTCTATTGTGAAATAGAGATGAGAAACAAAAATAGCTAAACATTAAAGTTACCTATAAAAGGTTCATAAGTCAAATTTGAGAATTCTAAATTTCTCATTTTTCAATTTTATCACTAATATTTTATATATACCAAAAAGAAAAAAAAAAACACGAATCATTAAATATCTTAGAAAACAAAAATACTTATCATAATATATCAACTATCACTTGATAATGCTAGCTTTCTATCAGTATACATCGTTTTTTTTTTTACTTTCTTATGCAGTTACTATTTTCTTCTTCATCGAAACTATTTTTGTTAATTTCAAATTTAAACATGAATTAATAGTAGGAATTATGATTTTCATTATACATATGATTTTATACAGTATTTTGTTATGATTATTATTGTTGTTGTTTCTTTTTTTTTTGATTTAAATACACTTTTTTCACATGTATTGGAAAATTAATTAATTCATACTATAAACACTTTTATGTAATATTTATGTTAAAAGTGTGACGTAAATGAAACGTATAAAACAAACATTACCATATCACTTTTTTTTTTTCATTTCCTTCCTTTTTTAAGAAAAAAAAAAGAATTCATTCTATGAATTTTATTGTAATATAAAGAAAAGAGAAAAGAGAAAATGAAATTAAAAAGTTTTCATTTTTTTTTTTTTTGCAGTGATGAGGCCTCACTTGGACGATGATGCATTACATTATAAAAAAAGACAACAGGAAGCGGAAAATCTTCGAAGGGTTGCATTTTACGGTGTAGCATTATCAACCATAGCTTCATTTATATGCGCAATTTCCGTACCAATGTTTTATAATTATTTGCAACATGTACAATCTGTTATGCAAAATGAAGTGGACTTTTGTAAATCACGCTCAAGTAATATTTGGCGTGAAGTAACACGAACACAGGTTAGTTAATTAGTCAATTAGTTAATTAGTTAATTACTTACTTAACTAATTGCTTACTCAATTATATGATTATCATTATATTATGTTTAACAAAAATTTTTATTTTTTTCTCTTTTTCGTTGTTTTATATTAAAAAAATTTAATATAACTCTGAAATTCATTACATAGTGATAATTGTTTTGCAAAATTATCTATGCATTATAATAATTGCACAATGATAAATAGAAAAAAAAATATATGATATAGGAATTTTTTCATGAAAAATGTTGTATTCTTAAATGTGCTAAAATTAAATGGTTCAAAATATATCCAGAATTTGAAATTTATTAATAAATTAAATGCAAAACATGAGAGAATGATATTTTTTTTTTTTTTTTTTTTTTTTTGTATGTTATAATAAGTAAATAAAGAAATAAAAAATTTAAATAAATATATATATGTATATCCAATTTCAAGGTAAAATAATCTATATACACTTTTTGAACTATCCCTTTTACCGCATATCTTTATGACTGTAATCAAAATTCGCAAAATAAACTATTTATTACATCAAATTCATATGCTATAGTTTAACTGCATCAATTAACATACTGTATTTTACCGTATCCTATAATGGCATACTGTATCATACTGTATCGCATCATATCATTCATTAGTGATATAAACTATTAAATTGGTTATAAAAAAAAAGAATTTTACCATCTGTGACATTGATTAAAATGGTAAAAATATTTAACATTTGTAAATAATTTCTTCTTTCATCTTTTTTTTCCCATTCCTTTTTCTTTCTTATTTTTGGCCTTCAAGCTAAAAATACAAAAGACTTATTCATTTCATTCTTATTTCATCTCAAAATTTATTGTTCAGTGTAGTAATTTGCATGACAAAAAAAAAAAAAAGGAACAAAAAAAAAAAAATTCTCTAAGTAATAGGATAAATTTTTATGTTGTTTCATATAATGCGGTACAGGTACCAACCATCACCATCATTATCATATTACCATTGACAAATTTTCTTTTCTCCCTCTCTCTTTCTCTCTCTTTCCTCTTTTATTGTACTAAGTAAAACCGGAAATTTCTAAACAGGTAGCATATCTTATTTTAAAATTTCTTTTTTCTTTCCTTTTTTTTTGTCTGAAATTCTTGTTCCAAAAAAAAAACGAATAAAAAAATGTAATTAATTGAAAAAAAGAGAGAAAAAATAAATTTTTTTTTAATGAAAAATAACATATTTTGGTAATGCAGAACTTAATATTGAAAGTTATACTTCAATATTTTTATTGGTGTAATATTTCAATAAAAAAAGAAAAAAGTAATATAAGAAGAAAACAACAGTATTTTTTTCTTTATTTTTTTTTCCATCTTTTTTGATTTTGGATGAAATTGGGTAAGTTACTTTAAATGGTAAAGGAACTTTTCTATTTTATGTCTCTTGCATTCCATTTATCTAATTTTTTATTTAATTGCAAGGTCAAAATTGAATTGTGATCACAAATTCAACTATGGTTAATTTACTGAATTGAATTATATGATTAATTAGTTGATTTAAGCAAAGAAAAGAAAAATAAACAATGGCTAAAGCAAAATAAACAGTTAAAGAAACATTAAATTAAACTGAATTAAATTATGCCAAATTTTATGGCATAATTTCAAAAAAACAAATTTTATGCTAAACATTCAAATAGAATTATGGAAAATATGTGAAAGATACATTTCCCATTTGCCATTTGATTTAGCATCAAATTTAGTATTAAATACTTTTCACAATAATATTATTTTTAAGTGTTACAGTGGTATGAATATTAACAATGAAAATTTCTATCAATTAATAGTTTGAATTTAAACCTAAATTTCATCAAATTCAATGATGACAAAAAAGAAAGAAAAAGGAAAATAAAAAATGAAAGAACGTGTAATAAATTCAATTTACATGAAGTATTTTAATTTTTTTCAAGGTAAAAATTACATCCAAAAATTACAGTCACAAATTCACAAATTGTTGTAAATATATAATTTTGTTTTCTTTTTAAAATCAAAAATTTTTCCTTTCAGTTAAATACATAATTTTATATATCTTATTTCTTAAATTGTTTCACTATCATTTTTTTTTTTTAATTACTATTATTTTTCTTTAGCAAATATTTTGAGAAAAAAGAAAACGAAATAAGTATAATTTAAAAATTAAAAATTCTTTTTTTTTCTCTTCCCTATAATTATGGATACTATTTATATTTCTAATTTCATACCTTTTATTATTGTAATTTATTATTGCTATTATCATTTACTTTTTTTCCTCTTCTCTTTATTAACAAAAATGATTCATTGAAAAAAAAAAAAAAACTTTAAAAATTTTTATATACAAAGAAGATTTTGAATTTAATTTAATAGGAAATTTGAAAGAAAAGCGAAACTAAATAATAGTTTCGATTAAATGACTTTTCTTCTTGATAAAATAAGGAAAAAAAAAATGTAATGATTGAAATTTTATATCCATGAAAAAATTATAAGAATTTTTCAAACAATTATTTTATTTGCACAAATAAAATAATCGTTTTTGCTTTGCAAAATTTTCATATTTTCATTTTATTGAATTCCATTTTTATAAATTAAACTAAAACATTGAGAAAAACAAATTCTACAATATTTCATTAATTTAAACAAATAAAATAATGGCGCATAAGCGAGATTTAACTATGGTTTATGAATAACTGCTAGCATTCATAGAAAATTTTTTTCAGTAATTTATTTTTGAATGATTGAAAAATAAAACATAAATTTGTTGTCTGACCTGAAATATAGTATTGTTACAATGACTTCAAAACAGAAATTAAAATAGATTTTAGTGAGTTAGCTTAATTTTTTTTTTTTTTTTAATTCGTTGATTAAATTAGAGAAACGGATGGAAAATTTCGAATTTTTAAACAAAATTGCTCTTTATGATGCTATCTTAGCTTTAAATAATCATTTTGCTATTGCTTATCACTGATACATTTATCAATTATTATCATCATTATACCATAATTATGCTAATAATAAATGAATGATGATTGATTGGTCAATCATTTTTAATTAAATTAATTTAACTTTAAAAGCACTTTTTTTTAACAGTAAAAATTAACTTTATTGTATCTTACTTTTCCTTATAATTTTTTTTTCAGTTAATTTAATATTTGCTAGCAATTTGAATTACAAGTAAAGTAATTGTTAAAACGTTTTTCAGTGATTTTTTTTTGTGATAATGAAAAAATTGTTTAGGAATGAGAAAAAAAAATTTAAAGAAAATCATTATAATCATACGATGAGTAATAATTATAAACATACGATGAGTAATTAAATTTAAAATTGAATAATTGATAATTGTAAATTCTCTTTCCTTAATTTCTCTTTCATAAATAATTCAACTTCCACAGTATTTCTTGATAATAATTTATAAAGCGGGTATTTTTTGCACTTCATATCATAGATTATACATTTATTATGAACATAATCTATAAATTTCAACTAAAAAAAAAGTTTCAAAAAGTCAAATTGAATTTCAAATATTTGATAATAAATTACAATCCATTTGGCAGCATATATTTACAGCACAATTTTCCTATAAAGTTTTGCATTTAAATTAAATATGAGTCTTCTTAAAAGGAAATCTTTCTAAAAAGCTTTAGTTTTGAATTAAACATGAACTTCTAATTTCAGATTTAATCATAAAACATTTAAAAAAAGGAATTTAAATTAAAATGTAAATTTATGATAAGTATTGGAACAAAAGCTATAAATTCGTTTTGTGATATTATTCAAAAATTTTTATCACAGTAATTAAAATATCTGCAGTTTTAACATATTTTCACTTTATTTAATAAGAATATTTTTCGTAGTTACATGTAATTAATTTTTACTATATTTAATGCTTTATTCAATGTCAAATTTCAATTTGCATTTTACAAATATATTTTTGACGAAAATTTCAAATGAAATTTATTATTTTTATTTTTATAGCAAATATGAAAATTCGTTAGTGATAATTAGCAACAATTAATGTCATTGGTTAAAATATCATAAAGTTACCAAACATTTTATCACTTATTTTCTTGTACATTAAAAAGCATTTTAAGCAGCAATTAAATTAATAAAACAAGTTAATAAGTTAGAATTTAGCAAAAATTATGCAAGTATTATAATTGAAAAAAAAAAAAAAGAAAAAACTAGTTTATTTTCAAACTCGTAAGTTTGTTATAGCATGAACAATAATAATTTTATGGAAAATTTATTTATTTTAATAGCATTATGGAAAATTTGTTTATTTTATTAGTAATCTTATTTTAATAGCAGTTTATTTTAATAGCAATATCGAAAAAGAATTATTATTCATATCGATAATTATTATTTAATTCATATTTGATTTTAATCTGTTTCAGTTCTTTTTTCCTCATTTTTATTGAAATGCTTCTTCTTTTTTTTTTTTTTTTTTTGAAGCACTTAGCATATTCATCAATTGTTGTTTACTTTTTAAAATGATATATAATTTAATTTAAATTAAATCTAATTTTGATAATTAATAACACTTAGTGTTTTAATATAATATATTGTTAGGATAATATGCAAAGGTTGAAATTAAAAAAAAGATAGAAAATTTAATTTTTTTTTAAAAAAATAGTAAAAAAATTGAAATTAAAAAAGAAGATCGAAAACAGATTAAAAGAAAGAGATTGAAAATTTAATTTAAAAACATATTTGAAAATTTTTGAAAAAAAATAAAAAAGAGATAACTCTTCTTATTTTTTTATGTCTTTTTTCTTTTTTTTTTAGGAGAGAGAATAGCTGAGTGAACTATTTTTACAGTTGTAAAGAATTTAACGAGATAATGAAAGATTTTAAATTAATTTTGTTTAAGGTATTATCAAAAGTAAATGGTGAATTACGGAGCCGTAGGCAAGCCGGTTATGACAGCTATTCGACCAGTGAGGACATACGTGGTGCTGGTGTTAGTGGTAGTGTTATGACAAGTTTTGGTGGAGTTACGGGTGCACCTTCTGCACCTGGTGGTGGTTGCTGCGGTTGTGGTGTATCACCACCTGGGCCACCTGGTGAGCCTGGTCCAGATGGAAGTGATGGTGCTGATGGTGAACCAGGACCACCAGGTAAAGATGGAGAGGATGCACCACAGGAACCACCTACGCAACCTCATATTGTAAGACTTTTTGCAAAATTTTTATCAAATTAGTGCACATTCAAATGAGAGAAATCATTATGCAATGTAATACAGGAATGGTGTTTCGATTGTCCAGATGCACCAGCCGGTCCAGCAGGAAATCCAGGACCGAAAGGTCCAAAGGGTAGACCTGGACCACCAGGAAAGGATGCAGATGGTGGTAATAGAGGACCACCAGGACCGCCAGGTGAACCAGGACCAATTGGCGCACCAGGTCAAGCAGGTCCAAAAGGACAACCAGGAGTGCCTGGAACTGTGATTGAAAAAACTCTACCACCAGGTCCACCAGGACCACAAGGGCCACCTGGTCAACCCGGTACACAAGGACCAGCTGGACCGAAAGGTAATCCTGGACAAGATGGACAACCAGGACCACAAGGTGATATAGGAAAAGAAGGAGCACCTGGTAAACCAGGCAGCGATGGAATAACTGGACCACAAGGAGAACGTGGTTCTTCCGGTTCATGCGATCATTGTCCACCACCACGAACAGCACCTGGCTATTAACACATATCATTTGATATAATATGCTACACCGATGATCTTTGCATAAATCTTTACATTTTACGCATTCCGTCTCTGATAAACTTGAAATTTTTCTATAAAAAAAAAACAAAAAAAAGATAACAATTAATTTAAACAAAAATTTACAAAAAATACTGCAAAACATAAAAAACTAATGCATGATAAAAAAAAAAAAAAATAAAAAAAAAAAAAAAAACAAAAAACAAAAACAAAAAACATAAAACAAAACAGAACGAAAAAAAAAAACCTAAAGGAAAAAGAATTACAATTGGTGGAACATTTCCATCCAAAATTTTTTTGTCTATTCTGCCTTCTCTTTCATTTCCTTTCACTTTTTTTGTTTTTTTATTTTTATTTAAATAATGAAAGAAAAAAAGAGAGAGAGAGAGAAACCTGTTTCTTATATTGTTATTTTAATGAATCATTTTATTTTCACCCCAACAAAAAAAGAAGCATTGCAGGAATTATCAATGTAATCATTTGATAAATTAATTATTTTTTTTTTCTATGAAAATAATACCTCGAAGAGAAAAATTCTATCAAAATTTTTGCATTATTTGCTACAAAAGTCATTTGTAATTACTCAAATTTTTAATATTATAGTAAAAAAATATAAATCGATCAGTTAATTAATTAAAATATTAAACTACTGCCTTTCTACTGTATTATTATTTATTATTTTTATTTTTTATTTCTTCATTAAAAATCTTTTACTGCCACATTTTATGTTTTATTATTGTCAAATATAGCTTAGAATGAGTCTTAAAAAGAGTTGTAAATTTGAAAATTTTTTTAAAATCATTTATTAACACATGATATTATGAAGTTAAATAATATGCTTTCTCGAAATGTTAAATGTTTGAGATTAAAATGAAGACAAAATTGAAAAAGAAAATCAACTTTTACTGTACATTTGTTTTTATTTTATTATTTCATTCATTTTTTTTTTGCTTCATTTTAAATTGAATTGAACAATTAACAATGCAATGAAAAACATCATTAATTTGTAATGGTAAATTAAATTTTTTAAATTAACAAAAAGTTATCATTCAAATTACAGAGATTACGGTATTACAGTATACATATATGTTTTATAAAATCAAATATCAAATGTATTCTATGCTACTATTGATTGTATGATTTCCTTACAATGCTTATTATATTGAAAATCCTAATTAGTCTTTTTAATTGCAGTATTCCTTATGCATAAAATATATACAGTATGCATACTTACAGTACACCTACAGTATACCATAAAGCACAGTACTTCATAAAGTTAAAATATTGCTTCATATGATTTTTTAAATAGCAAAAAAAGAAAAAGTTCACTGTCTTTCTACTAATTTTTACCATGAAATTAATTTAATTACTTTTTAATAAAGAATTATTCCATAAAAAATTTTTTCATTATGAGTACATTTTCAGAAACGCTATTACTTTTATTTCTTTTTTTTTACTTTTATCTTTCTATTTCTGTTGTATTTATCATCTTTTCTTTCTTTAATTTTTTTTTTTAAAACATTAACATTGAACAAATAGATTTGTTTATTTTTAAAACAAATCCAAAGAACAAAAATTCAATATTATAAAATTTGAAAAATTTGTTCAAATTCTTGGCTAATTAATTAAATTCCTTCGAAATTTTTTTTGTGTTCAATGTTCTTGTGTTTTTTAATATTTCTTATTTTATTTTTATCACATATATTTTATAAAATAGTTTAAAAATATACTTAAACATAAAAATTACTTTCTTATGATAATGAACTGCCTATAGCAGATATGTTGACGAATAAATGTATCTGTTTGATTTAATTATGCAAAAATTTCTCTTTGATATGTCGATTATTATGCTATTTATGAAATTTAATTTAATCAACTAAAATGCATTAGTAATGAAATTTGTTTTCAAAAAAAAAAAGCACGAACACACTACTGATAAAATGAATCATCACTATCATTTTTAAATTTTTAAATAAAAACATTTAAATTCTCCTAGATGACAAAAAAAAAAAGACAGAGAGAATGTTGAGTAATAAAAATAGAAAAAAAAAAGAGAACAAACCAAAACATTAAATTCCAATGTTATTAATAAAATTTAAATTTACATTTTACCGTACCTTAATAAAGTTTAATGATTGCATGAGACATCATGTATATTGTTGAATTTATAAATTTTAAATTTTATTTAATTTTAAATTTATTTCATGGATGGAACTACCGAAATTGGTTTACTTCATTTTCATATCATTTATTGCATCAAATACATATTAGCTATTATTTTAATTAAAAACTAAATTTATAAGTTTTAAAATTGCAAAAATTCATCGCTTACATTTGCATTTATTCATTAATATTTCATTCAAATAAGCGCAAATGTTACTCACAATAGCAATTTATTCACACTTAAATTTTTAATTTTTAATGATAATTTTTAATTTGCAATAACAAAATATTATCGATCATAATTTTTATTAATTTGTAAACTTTAAAAGTATGAAATAGTTTGAATTGTACCAGGATCAGCTTATTTCCATGATACTTTATTAAATGTTTCTTTTAATAAAAAAAAAATTAATAGGCACATTTCCATAATAATTTGATTTTAATGATGAGATCATGGGTATTCGCCAATATTACTGGAATTTTTAATTTCAATTTAGCATTGAATAAAATTAAAAAATTGTAAAAATGAATAATCAAAATTAAAAAATTTTAAACGCTAAGAAAAATACTCATTGTGCTAAATTGTTTTATACAACTTTTAAACTTTTATCGTAATAAATGCAGCATTGAAGTTGTGTAAATTTGGAATTTTAATTTATAATAAGAAAAAATTGGAACTCTAATTTATAACTTTAATTTTAGTTTATTATAATCTAATTATAATTTATTAGAATTTTTTTAACTTTTAAAAAAATGGAATTTTAATTTATAATAAAATATTTTGTTCATTGAGATAAATGCACTGAAAATCAGCAAATTAGTATGAATATTGGTTGAAGAATAAAAAAACGATTATAAAACTTTTGATAAAAAGCTTAATTAGCCTTAATTAGCTTATATATCATCCATAGGAAGCTAATTTTATACACATATATGTTCATTAATTAGCAATTAAATGAGTTCAATCTGAAACAGAAAATCAGAAATAATTTAAGCACATATTCTGACTAATACTTAAAATCGATTACTTAAAAATGATTACTTAAAAAAGCAAACTTTAAAGTATAAATTTGCAGTTTGTGACAATTAAAGAGGACATTAGCAGTAATTTCATAGATTTGAATTTGCATATTGTTTAATGCACATACTTTTTTTTTATTAACATTTTTTTTTTTATGTATTTAATAAAATGAAATATTTATTCAAATATTTTTTCTTTTTCTTTTTTTTTTCTAAAAAAAAAATACGATATCATGAAATGAAATTTTGATCATAAAAGTGATAAAAGTGTGATAAATGAAAAAAGTGATAAATGAAAAGATGAAATTATCATATCATAAATAAAATATAGTATTTAACTGACCGATCAAAAGATAAGATTTAATTTTCTTATCTAATTGTAATAAAATATTTAAAAAAAAAAAAAATGGTAGAAAGAGAAGAAAAGAGTTGAAATTTTCTTTTGTTATATCAAAATAATATTTTCTTTTCTTTTCATCTATCATAAAACAGAAAAAGAAATGAAAAAAGTTAAACAATTTATTGTAAAATCATTTGCATTTCCACATTTTTCATTTTGTGCAATTACTTTTGACAATTTAAATAGTATTAATGGCCTTGGAAAGAAAGAGAATTCGTAATGTGTAACCTTTCACTGTTAATAGTGAAATATAAAATTTTCAATTTCAAAAATTTCAATTAAAAAATTTTCAATAAAGTTTAAATAATCAAAAGAAATGAAAAATAAAAGAAGTGAAAAAAAAATAAATAATGCATTTACATTTATTTAATTTTTTTTTTTTGTTGAAGATAAATTTCTTTTTTTTTTATGCATATTTATTAATTTATTAAATTAATTGTTATTCAAATAAAATACATGACAATTATTTTATAAAAATAATTTAATACTATACATTTTTTTAATTTGTTGAAATTAATTGTTACTTAGTACTTGTCTTTATTTCTTACTTATTGCTTATTTATTATTAACTTATCATTTAATATTATTATTTGACATGTAATTCTTGTTCATCACTTATCATTTATTTGTCATTCAATTCCGTCTTATTGTCCGTCATTCATTTCTTGCTTATTGCCTATTTGTTATTAACTTATCATTTAATATTATTATTTGACATGTAATTCTTGTTCATCACTTATCATTTATTTGTCATTCAATTCCGTCTTATTGTCCGTCATTCATTTCTTGCTTATTGTTTATTTATTATTAACTTATCATTTAATAATATTATTTGACATGTAATTCTTGTTCATCACTTATCATTTATTTGTCATTCAATTCCGTCTTATTGTCCGTCATTCATTTCTTGCTTATTGCCTATTTGTTATTGACTTATCATTTAATATTATTATTTGACATGTAATTCTTGTTCATCACTTATCATTTATTTGTCATTCAATTCCGTCTTATTGTCCGTCATTCATTTCTTGCTTATTGTTTATTTGTTATTAACTTATCATTTAATATTATTATTTGACATGTAATTCTTGTTCATCACTTATCATTTATTTGTCATTCAATTCGTCCTTATTGTCGTCCATTGATTAACTGTTTGTCATTTATTTTCAACTTTTCACTAATTTCTTAATTGTTACTTTTATTTTTTACTTGTTGCTCATTCCTTATTTGTTGCTTATTATTTATTTGTCATTCATTTAATCTTTTGTTATTTTATCATTAATAATATTTGAAATTATCTCATAAAATTATTATTTATTTATTTTTTTTGAAATGAAATCCTTCTTTTCTTTTTTTTTTCTATTATTAATAACTTTTTTTTCTCTCTCTTTTCATCCTG